CAACGCTGCGAGTTAAGTTTAATTTGTACGCGTTTTATGTGACCAGGCTGTGACCTGTCAATACAGCAATTAATATTCTACCGTTCCATCGGCTAAACGATATAACATTTATTGTTTGAACTATCTTCGGTGTACTTTTCCTCGTATAGGTATATGTATATACATGATCCTAGCTATTCTACAGGTGTTTAAATTTCGCCACTTTTCATTTGATCTCGTTGTAATGTGGTCGTCCAGGAGTTTATGTATCTGTTTCAGTGGTCTGAGTACTTCGCTTGTTTGTTCCTCTAAAAGTCTTGTGCCAGTTTTAGCAATAGCATCAACTGTTTCATTTCCCTTTATGCTTTTACAACCAAGAATCCAGTACATATGTACAAAGGCTGCGGTTGCAGGCTAGTCTGGCTATAGCATCCTTGCATTCAAGAATATTTTTGAATAATGACCAGTATTCCATCTTTGTTAGTATGAATATGATGCAAATGTACTACTTCTTCGGTTACAAACAGTGGCAACAAACATTTCTAGTAAAATTTTTATACGAAAATGAAATTCAAACTAATGTAGAATACATTATAAGTATGAACCAATAATTATTTTTAATTACTGTAAAGTTTGTAATTGAATATTTTATATAAAAAAAATGTTAAAATAATTATTTGTTTTAAAACAAAATAAAAAAATAACACAAATATTAGTTGATTTTTATACACATCTATAAAAAACCACAATTCGCAAGAATATTTATTTAATAAAATAAAACAATGCAAAGAATCTGTTATAAAAACGATTTCAGTAGAAATATTTACCCATCTATTAGGGTTAGTTACAAGAGGTTAAAAGCAAATAAAATTAAATTGGGGAATTTGCTTTGCAGCGTATTCTCATACCACGTATATAACATAAATCAAAGGATTCATGATAAATCTAAAGTACTTGAGTTGAATTATGCCATGCATGCATAACTTACATTCTTATCCTTAATATTCCTTTTCTCATTATAACTTAATCAGTTTTCATTATCTCTCAGTATTTATTTTGTTTTATTTAAATTAAAATACACAACTGAGATAGATACTTTAGCATAAGTTATGTTTCCAACATTTCTTTTACATTTTAAAGCAGAACACATATTCACATACATGGGTATTTTTATAGATTCTATTCTAGTACAAACTATTATTCTCCTCTCTACCATAAAACTATTTCTAAACGATCATAAAAAAATCCAATTATCGCACTTAACGTCATACAAAAGTACCACGTTAACACACACATACAGAAGCACAAACAAGCTGGTAGATGGACTGGGTATGAGCGCATGGTTTCCCTGCACAGAAGTAGTGCTGCCACCATTTTTCATTGCTCTAGTATCTTTACTGTTTGTATGGTTTGTTGTTGGTAATGCTTCCGCAGATGTATGTTGCAAAAGCAGCAGATACATTTCACTTGCGGGTGCTGTGAAAGCAGTTTGCATTTAATGTGCTTCTATCATTGCTTGTGCTACTGTATATATATATATATATATATGTGTGTGTGTGTGTAGAAGTGAATGTGTATGAGCGTAGAAAGTGGAGTAATATTCAATTTTTTATTTCTTTGTCGTGATAAGCAAACAAATCCGAACATATAACTGAAAATCAAATCCTAATATTATTCTAAGGATTTGCTCTGAGCCTTAACACAATGACGTATTATATTAAATAATAAAATTGCTAGAGTTTCCTCAATCTATGCAAAATACCAGTGTCGTTATAAAATTTTTCAATTCGTATTATAGAAATAAATAAATAAATTTTGAATTATAGTTGAAAAGATTTTAAATATTTAAGTTTTTTAAAAAACCATTGAAAGATTAATTTATATGAGCAGATAAATGATAAATTCATGTAGATAAAAAAGACTTTATGTTTAGTATTCCATAAATATTGTACTTGACTATCATAATTCCTTACTTCTGGAGTTTGACATGAAAGTAAAATGAAGCACATTATAGTAACCGTAGTAAATTTTTTCCTTTATTAAGTTATACTGGATTCACACTGAGTTTTGTTTGTAATTTTAGCTGTCATCTTTGTGATTTTAGCTGTCAATTGTAGTTGCTTTCAATACAAAATGAAAATTTTTGACAATTAAAATCAGAAACAAAACTCTCGTGTGAGTCCAGTATTTGAGTAAATAATTGGAACATCTGTTTGGTAGTGAATACACTTATATCCATTCAAGATCATCATCTTTCTGTCATGTTCGCTCACCGTTAAAGGTAAGCTTTCTCTAAATATTTAAATTTGCATTTAACCTGAACTATGTTGTTGTTTAGGTTTCATTTAATGCCATTGTTCTATATTCTATGTGATCTCTCAAAATTTCTCTTATTTGGTCTTGATCTACACACAAAAATTCTTCTCGGCCATTAATTATTATCATATGTTATGCATGGTAGATTCTTACCAAACATTTCCTTAATATTACTCTAGACATTTCCACTCATTTCCGTCTACTTTTGTTGGCAAGCATCTTCTACATATTTTGTTTTGACTCTACTCTGAAATACATTTGTGCTAATACCTGTGATTCATTTAATATTATCACTTCATCATATAAGTGATGTCTCAATTCTTCGTTCACTCTCTCTTAGTTTTCATACAATAATTCTTTTGGTTCATTAATTGTCATCATATGGTATATTACATACTTTCTGAGAACTCTACATTATTTCTGATTAGTATGATATATAATAAATAAATTAGGACAGGGTTCCACTGCATCCTAACCTGAACTTTGTTTTCGCCAGAACCTAACCCAGCAATACAATAAATATTTAACCCATTCAAACAAGTTCGGAAAGTAATTTTTTCGGGGGTTTCTAAGTATTTATATTTCCTGCACAAAGTTTTATTTGTAATCTAAAGGTGGGAAGTGGCATCTATGTGTAATGAAGTCTCATTATTTCCTAGATTGGAGCTATAAACTTTCTAATATTGTTTTCTGTCATGATAATGTCATACTTGCAGGTTGCTCATAAGCAGCTAATAGTGCTGTCCCATCAATGTGATGTTACGTTCCAAACACTGGAGATGTTTTCCAGCGTTATTTTATAATTGGTACATATTGGTACTGAGTAATGAATAATGACATTTTTGAGTAAAATTCTATTCTTGGTAAAGGGTTGGTCATATTAGAAGAAACCTGACTCATCGATAATGCAAATATCAGACCTATTTTTATGATCGATATATCGCAGAATGATTTAAAGATTTGGGTGCCTACAACAGCCGCCACAGTTTATAAAACGAAATAATATTTTTATCTGCTAGTCTATGCAGAATAAGCTATGTTTATATTATGGTATTTAAATCGACTCATTTGTTGTAATATGTGTTTTTTTAGATAATATCTATACAAAATCCATATAAAATTTGTTAAAGTGATTTCATAAGTTCTAGTATAAATAGATTATTAATGAGTACATATTTGCATAGATTTCAGTTGTGTATATAGTTGAGTAATTGTATCGATATTTAAATAAAAGAATCTCTGTTATAAGTATCCATTAATACAGACAAGTTATTCTTAGTCATAACGCTTTACTAACATTTTAAAGCTCATATCTAATTCTCTTAATTTTTGTTGTCTGCCTGTCCTTAAAGCAGTGGATCCAATTCTTGAACCATTGTTTTACTTGAACACTTATCTTCGTAAGTGAACCATGCACTTATTTAGATTGCCATGACATTTTTCTTGCTGACTGCAATGTCATAGAAATATGAGAACAAACATACCCGCAGCTTTCCTTTGAGATTGTGATGCTGCCGACATACGAGTTCGACTATCAAGGCAGAAAAGCATGAAAAGGACATAAAATTAGTTACATGGCTGCAAATAAATGCATTACTTCTTTGTGCACGCACCCACTATACACGAAAACATTTTAAGTGATAGTGTGCAGCACAGTTATGAAATAGTAAAGCAGCGCTGTTGGTAATGAGAAGTTGAAGGATACGGATATACATTAAAAGTGACTGCGTGAAACTGCGAGTCTCCTGTAAAGGATATTTAAACGCTTGAACGTGAACGTGAACGTCTTCTTTTAAATAGTAGAATTGCAGTAGGTGTAGTGTCTAAGTCTTCAGAATTGTAGGCGTAAGTGTTGAAGTAGTCAACTACAGAGTTCAACTACAGTGGAACAAAACAAACAAAAATACTTCTGAGTAAAAGTGATTTCTGTTAGAAAAAGTTTTTGGAAAGTATACTTGATTTGCATAGTTTTTGTTTTTGTTTTTGTTTTAGTTACAATTACTTTATAAAAAATAAATGTTTGCTGCTATTGTATTTGGCACTATTGGCATACTTCGTTGCACAATGAAGACGCAATGAAATTTCAGTGAATGCGGCAGTCGATATTCTTCCACTTTTTCTGCAGCAAGGACTCTTCGTTTTATATTTAACTCGTTTGCAAAAAAATAAAAAAAATAAAGGAATTAAAAAGTCCTCTCCTCTTAAATGTTGGAAATGGCAAAATGGTTTTGATAAAGGGTATGAGAAAGGGTATGGGAAAGGGTATGGAAAGGGTAAAGGAAAGGGGAGGGAGGCTGTGTAGCACGAGCTAAAAAGTTTTTGCTTGTTTGACTCTTGTAACTGTTATGCAGCGAAATGTAAAATGTAAAAAAAAGAAGTGGATAAAAAGTGAGATTTTAACGTTGCCTGTTTCAATGCTTCAAACGTTCCAGAAGTGTCAAATACAACAAAATTTACAAAGTTTTGCCATTTGTTAGCTTAAGTGGCTTGTTGACGCACAAATTAACTTTGATGTTTTCCATTTCTATAAATGACACATTTTAATGCATTTCTATAAAAGCATCAGCAATGCTGAAGTTATTTATAAAACAGACAGATTCCTATTTATAATGCATGTAATTAAAAAATTCTTTTAATTTCTGTAATAGTTGAAGTTCCATAAATTTTAATTTCCAACACTTTTGTGCTTCCATTTTTAATTGCAGCGTGGCAGTCGTTATCACGGCCATCGTCATAACCAACGTTCCCAGTCGCTAAATCGCGGACAAGCGCTCTCCCAAGCAGATGTAAGCGGCATGTGGTGACATCGGGGTGCCTCTGGTAAAGGTAACTAAACACACAAAAAATATTTAATAATTTATTTTTATAAAATTTGATAAATGAAAATTTAATTCTATTTTAATTTTCATATGGAATTGCACAGCAGGAGGACAGACTGGTTGTGCTAGCTGCGCCATGGGTAATAAATTAAGCTGCTCCTGCGCACCGCTTATGCGCAAAGCTTATCGTTACGAAGATTCTCCATGGCAAACATCTCGTCGTCGCGATGGTCACCTTTTAAGGTAAGTCCACCATATATAGATGCAGTTAAATCTAATTTCTCATCACAATAAATGTTAAATGTTCTTTTGCAATTTTGTTAACAATTTAAATTCATTTATTCATTTAATTTATCATTAATGTTGCTCACAAATTGTTTATACTATAAGAAATATATCATTTAATTTCAAAATTTAACTTTTCAATTTAATTTTGTTTTAATGAAAACCAAATTTATTTTTCTTTCTTTTTTAATACAAAAATATATGTTAACCTGTCGTCCTCTACTCTACTCTCCAACGTCCAATTTATAAACCTGAAACAATTTTTGAAAATTTTTGTATGATCACAACAAAACCAACTAAAACTACAACTTTACTATAACTATTTTATATATATTTAATAACAAATGAAACTTACAAAAACTACTAATTCATTTTTGCATCAAAATTTGTGTATCTTGTATACGAAACCACAACACTGAAAATGTTCCTACGTATAATATATATTTAATTTTTGATAAAATTAAAAATCAAAACAAATTAATTTATTGCACAAAATGATTGGCTCAACTTCACAAAACTTTATAAAAATTAATAAAAAAAATATGAAATTATGAAATTATGAAATACAAAAAAAAAACATGAAACAAATATTTTGGCTAACAAACGCCAGTTCGTTCAGGTTGTGGGCTGAGGTATTTCACGTTTCGGCAAGCGGTGCTGGAACAGTTAAATGGCAACAAGTATCTGAAGATTTGGTTCCTGTTAATATAACATGTATCCAAGATTCACCCGAATGCGTTTTTCATATAACCGCCTACAACAGTCAAGTGGATAAAATACTCGATGTGCGACTTGTACAACCAGGTGAGTCAAAATTAAATAATTTTAATTAAATTAATTGAAAATATTAATGTAATTTAATTTTAATTTCATGTAATTTAATTTAATTTATTTGAAAAAAATTGAAATTTCTAATGACTAACACAAACCAATTTCGTATATGAATATTATTTGTTTTAAAGGTACTCGTATTGGACAAGCGTCTGAATGCTTCGTCTACTGGAAAGATCCAATGACAAATGACACATGGGGTCTAAATTTCACATCACCGATTGATGCTAAACAATTTCGAGAATGTTGTGTAAGTATTCTCTTACGGATCAGCAAAGCAAACGCCAACCACCACTCAAGTGCTCAAGTGCTTTTAAGATACTTTCAAAATTTAAAAGAAAAAAGATATTTGTTTGCTTTGCTCATACCGTCTAGGCAAGGTTCAGTGCGAATTCAACGCGTTTAAGTTATCATATAATTTAAATAATTTCAATTTTTCAATTTAAATTTTTTTAAGAAAAACTAAAGGAATTCAAAATTTTAATTGGTGGACTTTTGTAAAATTGAGTAACAAAAAAATTAATATTATTTCTATAATTGACGAAAAGATAAAAACATTTGCCTTGTTCATGCTTATACTCTGACATTTTCATTGTGAATTAAGTTCTCATCTTAATCATCCAATCATTGTGTTCATACTCATCAGTATTGTCATTTCTTTGTTGGGTTTTGTGATTTTGTATTGTATTTAATTTTGTTGAATTTGTTAAACAAAATCTGTGATGTTTGTATTAGTTTTTATTTAAAACGGTTTTAGTGATTTGTTGCATACTCATCTATCGCCAACAGCAAATACATTGCTTAGAATGTATAATATTTGCGTTGTCTTAAAGTGATTGCGCCTTAGTTTTTATTTTAATTGCATATCAAAATAGTTTTAATCCAAAAATTTATAAAAAAAAATATAATAATATTATATATTATGTACGATATAGTATAATATTCTATACCAACTATAACCGAATTTTTGTATAGTTAAGTAGTTATTGTATCTTATATATAACTATAATAACTGAGTCGCAAATATAATTAAAAATCTCTAAGGTTAAGTATGAAACCCTGAATTGTTTTTCATATAATTAGTTAAATATATAATTTTTTTTTAATACATTAAGTTATGGGTACCCTTTCCACGTTCTTCAGAATATAGTAATAATAGTCCACTTAACTATTCACTGACCGCATGTCTTTATTTAACAGTCTTCTGTAATAAAAGCTCAATCGTGATAAATTACATACATTGATCTATAAATACGTGCAATTGTTTTTGGGAATGAAATGTAAATTTCCTATTAGATATATAGAACATTTATTTATACTAATAAATATATATATGGGGCCTCACAGTTGTTAAGTACAAAATCATTCCTGACATCATTGTCGATATTTTCATAATTTTATAATTTGAAAAACTAGATAGATAGATTTCTCATATATAGAGCTGTGGTAAAGTTATTTTGACATCCTTTGACCGCAATGCTGGTTCTACTAACCTTTCACTACACATAAATAAATTCTAAACATTGATTAATATATTAAATATTAATTCCATTTATATTATTTATCCATTTTAGCTTTCAGGCTTCTATGTCCCTACTAAAATTATTAAAATTGTTAAGAATGCCTTTGATGCTTTACTCCTTATGTGGAACTGTCATTATAATAATTCCCCGTATTTGCATAATATCTAATTTTGAAGACTCAACCATCTGTTGCTTGTTGTTTGTAATTTTGGTTTTTATTATTAGACCATTTTTACCGGAATACTTTTACTTCCCGTCAAACCCAAATATTTCTATGATCTTTTGCTTGATTATACTCTTTAATTGTTGATGCGCAACAAAATATTTTATTCATATTCCGGACAATATCAGTCCTGGACTCATAACCTTCTGTGAGGTTTCTTGGAATGTTGACTTTGTCGCAATTGTAGTCCTTAGATGAATCGATTTTATGTGTACACAGAAGTATAACATTGACAAGTCTGCTTTTGAATAAACCGCAGATTGTTTTAATCGTTGTATAGGTACTTTCTTCATTTATCTTTCTTAATTATAGGTCCTTAACAATTTCGCTAATATAGACTTATGTTCTTGCTGTAATGATAGGCTTTTATTCTAGTAAGCTAGTTACCCACTTCGTTTTGTACTACTCTTTTATGTCAAGCAATTTAAAAAATATATAGTATTCTTCCGGTCTCCAGTAAGTTACTGGATTAATTACTCTACAGAGTCTATTTGCAGATGTCATTTTTTAGATACAAAAAGAATCTTGAAAATTTGAAGAATTTTTCGGTCTCTAGTGAGAATCTAGTGGAATAAATATATTTGAAGATGTTTTTGGAGGTGTAAATGGTCATATTCATATCTGAGTGAATTTCTGTATGGTTGCTATAGAACTCCGTTGCTTTTCGAGTACAAAAGCCAGTACGACTGCTTAATGTTTTTATATGGAGAAAATATTATACCGTACTTTCTGTAATTGCTATACTAGGTGGTACTAAGCATTACTAAGCCTTACTTTTCTGTGATCAATCCAAATTATTTTCTAAATTTATTTTTTAGTGCAATAGTCGACTTTGTGGATTTATACTGCGTCTGTATTTCATTGCAATTATATGGTTTAATGCACTATTTTTTTTTAAAAAGTGAATGGAAAGAATCTATATTAATCTGTTAGCTGGTATGACTGTGTGTATCTGAATAGAATATATGGAAATTAATTTTAAAACTATTTGTGTAGCGTTCGAATAAGTCGCTTGGAAGAATTTATTTCAATCTCAAAGTCGATATGATTGTATGCATGTCTTCAGCTTTTACCTTAAAATCATTTGTAATTCAATCTTTTATTATGAAGTTGTTGAGTATTAGTACCTTGTACTTATACAAACCCTCCTTTTCTAAGAGTATTCGGAATTTTTTCGTGAATATTTATATGTTTATTATTTTGTTAGAGGTTTTTTGCATTTTATAACTTTCAGTTTATTTACAAGTTCTGGTATTTCCAATTTAGTCCACGAAGCTATAAGTCATAGATCTTCGTTAATTGTTATGGTTACCGTTGAAATGTTTGTGAAAGCCTTACTGAATATTGTCTTCCATTAATTTTTGCTTACATATCATACAAAGAAAATTACAAAGAAATCAAAAATTATATGTATTTACTAAAAACATAATATCAAATATATCTAGTACTAATTTTAAGTAGCTATAATATTATATTATACTTAAAGCATTTAACAGTATTTTAGAATATCAATTGCTTTATTAGTAATCCCATTTATTCATCCACTATAATTTCTTCAAACTTATAACTTATTTAACTTTGCATTTGAAAATATTCATATTCATATTCATTAGTAAATCGTGAATCTATTAATCATTATTTGTTTTCATCATTTTTGCAGGTATTTTACGTTGTAAAGAAATACGTTAGTATTACCATGTATCCATTTAATAAAAAAATTACCTAAAATTACACAAATACACATTTTTCAATATAGCTAAAAATTAATTTTCGTCAAATGCCAAGAACGTCATCTTAATGTCAGTGTTTTTATAATTGCCACGTACTTTAGAAGTCTCTCATTTTTTTATTCTTAAACTGTAGGCATGCTTTTAGTTTAATTGGATGTTTTCAAATTTTAATTTTTAATAATTTATTTTTTAATAAATTAAAAGTGTAATGTAAGATTTTGTAGTACAAGCTATGCCCATAGCTTAGATGCACTAATATTATTTTGTACTCGTACTTCCCAAAAATACTAATACCTTCTAACAGCATTATTAAGCACTTATCTCTATTGTGTATATACAAAAGTCCTCCTAAGTAAAATCTATGTCCCGCTCTTTTTTTATGCTCTTCGGCATATATATAGTATATATCCTCTGTAATATATTTTTGAAAGATAACTCTTCCTCACTTTCAACTATATACCTTCTAAACTTTCCGTACTTCGATGTTTGTATTCGTACTAGTTTTTTTTCAAGCATTTCCTTAACATTCTTAAGCATTCTTCATGTGATTTTGTGTTTAATTTTACTTTCTGTTGTACTTATTTTATATAAAAAACTACAACTGCAGTTTTAAAAAATCAACTACTACCAAACTTTTTAAAGAGACAAACACTAAATTATTTATATTTATATTATATTCTTTCATTTCTTTTTCTCTTCCTCTTTTCACATTCAACAAACATCATTCAAAATTTTCGATTTTCGCTTCAAAACAAAAAACATTTTTCAAAAACGTATTTTTAAAAAAATTTAATATAAAAAATATGTTAAAAATCACACTAAACTGTGACTCTCTCTTTACTATACTTTCTCTATTCTTTTCATTTATTTTAATTAAAATAATTTTTTAATCATATAAAATACTTTTTAAATTAATACATTTTAATTACTTAAAATATAAAAATAAAACTTTAAATATATAAAAAAAATTGAATCGATTGCATTTAACGCGGCATTAATTTTCAATGAAATCCGAAATTTTTAATAATATTATTGTTGAAAAAAATTGTTAATAATTAAATAAATTAATTAAAAATAATTTAAAAATTTTGAAAATTTTGTTTAAAAACGTTAAACAAATGAAAAAGAAAAATGCAAAACGATTTAAAACTATCGCACGTATCCTTTACTATAACTCCCTTTCATATCCCATACATCCTGAGCCCGATGACTCCTAAAAGCCTAAAATCCCATTAAAAGAAATCTACTAAAAAATGGCGGTTAATCGTTAATTAAACTACACAAATGCACTTAATATGTTTTTTGTAAATAAATGTTTCTTTTTTATATATAAAAAAAAATTCAAAGAAAATTTTCAAAAAGTTTTGACTTAAATCAAATTTAAAATAAGCATAAATGCAAATACTAATTTGCTTATATTTTGGATACAATAAAATAAAATTAACTTTAAAGGATAATGCAATAATCAAATTATTTTTAATAGATAAAGTAATAACAATATTCACGGTTGTTGCTTAAGTTCCATGCCAAAATATAAAAATATATATCAAATTTTGCTATAATTAATGTGTATAAAGGACACTTTATTACTAGCTTCAGAGTTCTGTAACCAACGGTTTTCCACACATAATATACTATATAGTTTTAAGTCTAGTGTGATAGAAGAATGTTAGTCAGGAATAGGAATTTATCAAGAGTTAGTAATTAGTGAGTACAAAGCATAAGAAATAAATAGTTTATTTTCAGAAAAACATTACATTGCTGAGATAAAAAGAAATTTTACAAATAAAAGTCCTTGAGACTTAACAAATATTCCATTGAATATAGGAGTAATAAAATAAATTAGTTAAAATATATTTTAGTACATTAATGTTTGCTACATATGTACCTTAAAATAGTTTAGTTATAAATATATGTGTGTAACCTATTTATTATGATGCTTAGTTAATAAAACTAGAAAAATATGTAACAATAATTAATACCTAAACTTGCTATAGTTAATGTCTATATCCTTCAATAATCAAGTGTTTCAAAACTAAAGCTTTTAAAAAAAAATTAATTAAACCTTACTATTAAAACTATACTTAGTTACATTGAGATTAAAAAGTGTAAAATAGTATATATACGTATTTATTATATATAGTACATTAACTAAAAAAATATTTGGCAATCTTATATGCAATTACTGTACAACTTTACTCAACAGGTATCTCGTTACTACAGCTTCCTATATATCTAAAGTATTTGAAATTATTTAATGTAAATGTGGTTTCATTTCAACGCACATGATACCAACCAAAATAGTTATCAATAAATTACCAAAGTATGCTTCCATTTATGTTGCTAGTATTAACAAATTAAAATTATTGTTAATTATAGTTATTAGTCATATAGTATAATTAAGAGCTGTCAAAGCTATAACGTACTTTAATTAGTTTGTACGAATATAAAACTAAAAACACCAACAACAGCATGTAATACATTTTTTAACTAATATGAAAAACCAAAAAGTTTCATCATCATTTATTAAAATTTTTAAATTTATAACATATGAGATATTAAAAGGTCCTAACTTACCATAAGTAGTAGAAATAAGAGAAGGGAGGAATATTTTATTGTATTTTTCATCCACAAGAATTTCATAATTAAGGATATGTTATTGGTATAAGGAATTTGCAAAAGAGTCTATTACTTTTACACATTTAATAAGTGAAATTATCGGGTGCTATAAGAAGTCTAAATATCTACTTTGTTATTATTTGATTCTTTTAAAAATTCAGAGGCTGAATTTCATGTTCGATATTTGAGCGAACTACCTTAAAAAATCTTACGCTAGCATCATAGCACTATTAAGCTATGAGGTGTAGAAGTTGTTCTATTTAGCCATATCTAGTTACCTACCTATGTGTATAATAGTTATAATAATACCTAATATTCACATACTTCAGGATTTCACAGACTCAATATGAGTTTTATTAGAGGAAGCTATTTTTAAAAATTCTAAGTTATTATCGGTATTTAGCTATTAAGTTCAAACGTTGTTCTGGTTAGCTGTCTTTATTTTCTTTCTATCTATTAACTTATAAGAGTTACAATAATGTTAAATGTTCTTCGTTTTACATTTACATAGACTCAATAAAAGTGATATTAGAGTGCACTACCTTTAAAGACTCTAAGCTATCTGTTCGTTTGTTAGTTATAATTACAATAATTATAAATAGTCACAGATTTTGGTTTACAAAAACCTGATCAGAGTGATATTAGAGTGAAATACTTTCAAAAACTCCTTTCCTACGGCTCTATCAGGTCAACGAATGCTTTCAGACAGCTATCTTAACTTACCTGCCAAACAATAATAATAAATATTCGTAGTTTTTAATGGCCACCGATATTAGATGTAATATAGGCGTATTGATCTTAATATTTTTAGAATTATTCTTATTTTGAAACAATTACTTTCTGAGATTTTTATATTGAACCTGTGCACAAAGGTAAAGTACCAATTCAGGCAAGAACAGAAATTTTAGCAATGTGTTTGAGTATCCTTTTCTTATTTTAATCTACACTCAATAAAAACTCTTTGAAAGAATTTTTTCTTGTATTAAAACTCATGTATAAAAGATTTAGTAATTTTAAAATCAATTTTAAATGTGGATAAAAAGTATTTAAGAAATTGATTAAATTATTTGAAGTTAGGTTAGGTTAGGATGAGAAGGCGTATGCTGATATAACCGACAGTGATGGTCTCAATGTTCTGTGGTGTATTGCTAGTTCCTGGTATTATCTTTATTAAACCATTTGGTAGATCCGGCAAGCTTAATTTAAAGATCAGTCAGTCGTCAAATCTACTACCCGACAAATTTACTACCAAGACACTGAAGTTGCTTTGGTTGTAGTCCCAGACAGAGATAGCAAAACAAAATATGTATCCAAATTCCTGATTGCGAGAAGTCCGTTTGGATTTTTTGCTTTCATTTACAAATTTTTTTTTAGTATATAAACTGTAAGGTAGACATATTAGTTTAGAATTTGTAGTGCTGTTTAAAAGCGCTTTCAAAGGCAGTTGTAAAATTATTTATGAAATTGTACAGATATATACATACATAGTTAGTGTAAAAGAAATATTACAGGTAGTACACTGGTATTCTGTGGAATTAAAGTTCATAATTATCATAATGTTAAAGTAGACAATTGATGCGTATTTACCAAAAGTTTTTGATGTTAAAGCCTTACATGTATTTCAAAGCTTTACATGTATTTCAAAAACAGCTAGTAATAGTATCCTTTAAACGAGATTTGTCTTTAATGATAACTTATATAAGAAACATTAATGAAAAATCATTAAGTTTTAATAATACATGAACAAATGAGACAGAACTCAAAGAAATGACAACACAAAACTTTTTTGAGAATGTTTTTCTCTTTTCTCTCCTTTCACTGTATTTGATGCTCTTTAAAAAATTTAAAAGTTTTTCTCTTTTTGTAATACACTTTGATGTTATATATTTTTGTGTGTCACTTTTAAATTAAATTAAAATTTCAATTAAAATAAACTGAATTAATTAAACATTAACATAAACACCAAAGGGCCGAGTTTTACTGCAAACAACAATAAAAAATGTCAATCATTAATTTTTCAAAATTAAATATTCCGCATTTCGAATACTTCAACCAAAGTTTGCAAAAAGCCAAAGTAAAACAAATAAACCAATTGCTAAAAAAGTAAATATAAAGAGAATACAATAATAAAAACCGCACACACAGAACCTTGTATATCCCAACCAACTAACCTAATGATAGTGCGACGTTTTACAGTCGCCTTCTTTCAAATTTTCACGAAAGGCCTCATCGAGCTATTCACTGAAATTGGATCCGCCGGGTAAAGGAAAAATCAAGGCCAAACGAAAGCCACTTAGCACACCGGCATCACCGTCGCGCGTACGCAGTGAACCACAATGCACCTGCATGTCCGCTGAGCAGTATGCACGTTTGAGAACCGATCCGAGAGTACGAGGTGAGGATCCGTCACATAATAATTTTTACCCTTAAAACAATATACAAAAAAAAATATGTTTGTAAAAATTATCCCAAAAATCTATAAAAAAATTTTATACCAAACCCAATTATCACACAGACTTACCAATACTAACTAACATTAACATATTAAAAGACACAAATACTACACAATACACAAATACACAAATACTTACTTGTTCTACACGACACAATAAAACACTTTTAACTTTTATTCAGTTTTTTCAGCAGCGGTCATGGTTGCCGCTGTGACCAATTTTTCGGTTTCGTTGTGTTATTTAGTTTTTCTTTTGTTCATTTTAATTTTATTCCTTCTTTCCTACTTTCGTTGACCTACCTTAAAAAATTGAAATTCCCCACATGACCACAAACCACTGAACAAAATATTAAAAAAATGAAAAAAAATTTACCTTAACCGAAATTACGAAATTCATTCACACAACAACTACACATACACTGTAACGTGAAACTTTTTCCACCACCAACCACTACCAACCACCGCTACCACTAACACCACCAACCGAAGCCCACACTTCTATCTCTCTTATATCGTAATCTCTACTCCATAAAAATCCACCACATCCTCATCAAACTCATCACACTCATTGCAGGTTCTTCCACTTTACCACGGAACGTTGGCTCACGTGTCACCGAAACTGATGGACAACAAAAGGTTGCAAATGCCACTAGCAGTACCTCGCTTTATGATAATGTAGCTGGAGGTGGAGGTACGGGTGCACAAGTTATGCCAACAGCTGGAGGGCAAGGTGAGTATAAAACTAAGATACTACAATTTATTGACCAGCAAAACAAAAGTAATTACATTTCAACTGTTATACAAAAAGAAAAGTATCGGAAGGGTGGTAACGCAACCACCCTTTTGATATAACTTGCAAAAGCTTTAAGGTAATGAAGCTTTAACCCCACCCTTTGGAGAACTCACAACTTAAAGTTCAAAGCTCGGTTAAAAAAGGAATTAAAAAGCTTACAATATTGCATTTTTAATAGATTTGATTAGACCTTAAAGAGTTCGAAGACCGTCTTTGTAGAGTTTGCAAATAACTAGTAGAACAACTTAACAGTAATAAAGCTTTTAAATATTTTAACAGTATGATAACTTAAAGAAAGCTTTTGTACAGTACTAAAGCTTTTAAAAGCTTTTGGATATTATAGCGTAGTAATTATTATACAGAAGTTATAATAACATATTTTATGTTTTATATTTTATAACAGATACACTTGGACGTCAA